AACACGCGGAGACAAAAATATGGGAAACACTTTCCATATTGTCGCGTGTAGGGGGTTTGTGCTTGAGTTATCAGACGGGTTTTGGATTGGATGATTGGATTTATTACACCTTATACAGTCACACAACTCGGGACTACAGGCAATACAACACTATCGTTGATTTACACAATTCACAGTTCACCGTCATACACGAAATATGGTTCTCACTCTTCACTAGTCGTATCCTGGCAACGGATTTATAATAATTCTTTATTGCGATCCGTCGTAACACAACAACGAAACGGTCTAGGTCAACATCACCTTAGCTACATGTTTCGGCTTTTAAAGCCATCATCAGGCGAATACAAGGTTACTGCACTCACACACTATTGAACTGCATTTCAATGTGACAGTAGAGCTTGATACTTGACAACTGTGTTATATTATAATAATACAAGATATAAAAATACAATAAAATCATAAACTTATTATAAAATGAAAGTTATGCAATAAAATATAGTTAAAAACTATTCATGTAATGTTTCATATTGTGAAGTCAGTGTTGCAATACAGCGGACATACAGCAGTATATTCATGACTTGTACACGTATAGTTAACTGCTTGGAGGCCCGTAGTATTGGTGTTGTATTATTTGGTATTAAATGTTTGGCCGGGCCACTCCTTTATAATCACTTAGCACGGACCACGCAGGAAATACAGCCTCTATTGCTAAGGAGGCGTGCTGACTGGTTCACTGCCTAGTAATGGTACACACATCCTAATAGAGTGGTATAATTTAATGTTTCTAATTGAGAAATGTTAAGAACTGAGAATTAAGGGAGGGCCACGAGGTAGCGTAGTTGGTTGAGGCCCTATGCTACAAGCCGGAAGGTAGCAGGTTCAAGTCCCGATGAGGTTATTGGATTTTTCAATTGACCTAATCCTTTCAGCCGCACTATGGCCCTGGAGTTGACTCAGCCTCTAACAGAAATGAGTACTAGGAATCAATTAAATAATTTTCCTGGAGAGTAGAGCGCGGCCGGCGCATAAGGCTGTTAAACTTACCGCCATCTTTCAGCTGACTGTCTAAAAAATGCGGACCCTCAACGTCTCAAAACCCTATGGGCCTTCACGGCCTGCTACAGTAATAGTTTTACTTCTTTATAAGATTAAGGATTACTTTGTCATACAAAACATAAATAAGAGAACATTTATTTGAAAGGATGTGTCCTTCATGCTAGCTGGATGTTATCATCTGAAATATTTACTGGATGTTATATTTATTTCTATAATGCTGAAGTTATAGTCAGACTGTATTCAAATAAATGCAAGAAAAGGAAGGACTGAATTGAATACCTAGTCTGATTCCCAATGTACTATTATTTGTATTACAAAATACTTTAATTACAATAAAATCCTTATCACTGTTTTCTGCTTGTTTGGCTTACCCATCCACCCCGAAGATGGAAGTGTGTTTCCTTCGAAACATCGGTAAACTTCTTCCAGACTATAGGCGTAGTACTATATAAGATATTACTCTTCATAGTCACAGCCCAGGGAACCTCAAATTTCACGTCATGTTCTGATTTTGATTCAGAATGAATAAAACAAGAAGCAGTTGATATTCATATGTTATATCTTCTAGGATATGACGCCGTGTATTCCGTTGAAATCAACCGACGTTTCGGAGCAAACATGTCCCATCTAATTCTGCTACTTGCTTCACCCTGAGTTGTTACTTGGCTTATTCTTCGGCAATGAATTTGGAGGAGACATTTTCCCCCGAAACGTCGTTTGATTTTCAACGGAATACACGGTGGTTTATTCTAGAAGACGGAACTCTGCATACCCACATCTGTAAGAACTTCAAATCCTACTGTTTCATGTTTTACTTGCAACACTTCTGAGATATAATCAAGCTATTCTAATTGTAAGAATTGAGGTTTTCACGGCGGTGACTATGAAGAACGCAGTCTTTTGGGATTTGGGACCGTGTATATGTGTTGTTAACCGACGTTTCGGAGGAACGTATCGCCTCCATCTTCAGGGTAGAAGAAAAAATATAAGAAATCTGCAAGCGAAGAGACCGTGAGAACCGGTAAAAGCAGTCTCTTCGCTTGCAGATTTCTTATATTTTTTCTTCTACCCTGAAGATGGAGGCGATACGTTCCTCCGAAACGTCGGTTAACAACACATATACACGGTCCCAAATCCCAAAAGACTGCGTTCTTCATAGTCACCGCCGNCTATTCTAATTGCTCGCAGAGCAGAATTATAAATTCACGGCTGATCTTCAAGATACAAACGAACCGAGAGACTGTACGGGGGGGCCCCGTCCACAAATAATGCCACGCTTGGGATTCGGGTGCAAAGAGAATTCTTGGCATACGTAACGCTGCTGGTGTGAGAGGCAAGTCTTATTATGCCCAACTGTTCGCAGAAGCCTCACATTCTTAATTAAAAATAATGACTTTTTTCAAGAAATGGTGTATTGTTTCTCATTTATAAAATTAGTTGAAAATATCTCCTGTTCCATTTATATTACGTCCCCTTGTGTAGCCTTTAAATTATGAGAACAATCCAAATGCTATGAGAAATGTCTTAGAATGTGTACCACTTATTTACGCCTCTTTGATGCCAAGAAAAAAGTAAAGTTGTCTCTTGTGCTTAGTTACGTGCCATGTAGTGAAGACGTATAAATGAGTGGAGGTATGGCTCCATGCATTTGTAGCATCTGCACTAAATGAAATCGAATGGTTGCTTTTAGGCGCTGGTAGCTTTACCCCCGTGAGAAGAGCCCGGGAACCCACTGGATAGTTTCTTACTTCCTTCTTCCTTGTTGCTTACAAATCACAATTTTTCTCCCTGAAGATGGAGGTAGGACGTAACTCCGAAAATTCTGTAATCGTCTACCAAAATACATTGGGTTAAGAATCAGAAGACAGTAATCTTCGGTCGGGTGGTGTGTCGGGTAAATTGCTGCCGGTCCTCGTCAGCACACTCATTCTTGGTTATAGCCTTCGAATTCCTAACCCTTTATATATCGTTCTGGTTTCACGGCATGTGATGTAACTGGTTCTTCAGAGACCAGAGCATGTGGTAAGCAACTCTTGACATAGAATCGAAACATTTATCTCCTCAAGCCCGTGTACACATATTTAGTGGGCCCTCGTTTGGCGACGACTCTGCAATCCACAATTAAGGTCAAGTGTATGCACATAGAATACGACAGAGGGGTCGGAGTTTGAGTCCCGGTAGGATCAAGAATTTTCTTCATGTCTTCCACACCGGCCCTGGGGTCCACCCAACTGCCTACCAGATGGGTACCGGCGACTCTTTACCCGATGGTAAAGCATCCGGGGCGTGAAGCTGACCACTCACCTCCAGCTAGTGTTGAGGTAAAAAAAATGTGAGTCTGTACATCCACGTCCGCATGCGCTTTCATGGGGTGGTGCTTAATTAGTGAAGCACAGAGACAACTTACGTTTAATTCGCTTAGTGGGGGGGTGGAGTCCAACTGGTTCCACTCGGCACGGCGGCCACTGATTGGCCTATTGTAGCCTGCGCCGGGTGATTATGATGATGGAGATTGGCAGGGGAAACCGAAGTACTAGGAGAAAAACCGCCCCAGAGCCACTTCGTCCACCACAAATCGCACTTGACCAAACCCGGGATCGAACCCGGGCCGCCGCGGTGGGAAGCCAGCGACTAAACGCTTGAGCTATGGCGGGGCCCCAACTCTACGTTTAATGTGGCATATAAATTCTGCTTAGAAAATTACAGCATTTTGTATGGCACATCAATTATTTTGAACATCGGTTTATTAAAACGTTCTGCTGTCGACTGAAGTCTACAGACTTTGTTTCATCTTATGCAATTAGAGAAGTAACCATATAGAGCATTTTTGGGGGGATGTGGCACCGTGAATTTCGGTGTAAGTCCACTGAGATTTCCAAAAAATATTCCCTCTCCATCTTCAGGGTCAAAGAGTAAGCCAGTTGTCGCCTACTTTTTGCTTGTTACCTGCTTGACTTGCATTTATATCCTAAAGATTGCGGCAGAAACTTCATCCGAAGTATCGCTAAACTTCACCCGGGCTACATTTCTTTTCTAAAATAAATACAAGAGCAACCTATGCGGTGTACGTCAGTAATTTTGATCCCAGTTTGTCGGCCCGGAAGCCAACAGCAAAGCAGCGCAAGTTAATCCGAGCATCAGCCTGCACGCGCCTCACACAACCTGTTGCTACTTGTCTGACAGGGAGGTTAAGAGGAAAGACATTTTGCTGCAGAAAAGTAGTTCTGTGGTCTAGTCCGTATTTACTCCAACCCAAAAATGCCTGCCGGAAGATGGACAGACTCAGATTCTGAACTTCTTTGTGGCTACATTAGCGAGAAGCCAGTTGGAAGCGTTCAAACCGCAGTGGTCTTTCTGTACCAGATTGTACTACACGTGTTCCTGCATTTTAGTGAATCTAAACATTATTTAGTTACTGAATAAAAGCACTTACACTACTGGTGCGGACAGAGAAATATCCATCATCGAGGGCATGTTCTAGTGACATGATACAATATAGGTTTCAGTTTCCTTAGTTTAATAATGTGTAGAGATTCTGTGTAATTACTTCATACATTATGAATTCCAAAGCGAAATCCCGGACAACTCAGTAGGAACAGAGACTAGGAGGTAGATAGCAAGAGGAATTGAAAATGCGGATGAGAACTATTGTTCAGATCTTAGACTATTTTGTGAAAATTATTTTGTTTACATTTTGAACAGTTTGAACCAAAGCCTCACAAAATTTAGAGAAAAATAAAGATCACATTACTGTTACTTACGTAAGAGAGGCCTACTTTGGTTCAGGTTAAGGCAAATAAATCAGCACATATTTTCCATTCAATACTGATGGCTGAGATCAAGAAGATATTACCAAGTTTGGTTGGCAAATATCTCAGTTATCTGAGACTCCTACCCATTCAACTAAACAAACAATTTATAAGGGCACAAACTTATATACTCACCGCGATCGAATACAGCATCTGCTTCAGGAAGAAGTCGGAGGCTTATCAGAAGATGGAGAACTATCGCCGTGGTCGAGACGGCGACGCTTCGTCTTGACGCCAGTCTATGAAGCTGTTTCGTCATTTTCACATCTATACACACACACACGCGCGCGCACACGTCACTGAACCCGTCGCGGTTTTATACCCCGATATCGCTACGTAAACCCGGTATTACCGACCGATACCGCTTTGCCACATTGCTTCGATAGAACACACTCGAAATGGCCGGCCTTGAACAGTTTCGAAACTATATATAAATTCCGTTAGCCACAACTGTAATTTCTGAAATACGCGATTAATATTTAACACACTCGAATTATATTGTCAAATGTCACAACATGAAAAGAATTACTGTAAGCCTATTCCCGTAATTGTTTTGTCGGTTAATGCGCAGTGATGTTCATTTCAAACAGGCAGATGATTAGCAATTCCCGCTCGTCTCATTCCCGACTGAAGTCCATCTTCCATCTCGTCAGTAGCTAACGTGTTCCACATCCGAATGTGAAAATCCCTGCTACAAGCGGAAGCCGGATTGTGTTTCTGTTCTCTTGCAGGAGACACTTGACAACCTCTTCGTTATACCTCACCACTCGAAAGCCTGAAAAAAAAAAAAGACAAGAGATATACGAGACATGTTTTCAAATGAAAATGTCAATAGATAAATGGGAGCATCTAAAATGGCTGAAGAGCGCTGATCTTTTGTAGACAACTTTCGGTACAATTGGGAATGTAAAGTTAAATTCTTTGAAAGAACGTGTCTATAAAAAATTGTTAGCCCAGGCATTTGGCTGGAACACACTTCAATAATAAAAATACTTTGAAGTGCCCGAGTAAATGCTGCGCTGTTCAAGAATAAGACAGAAATATAGAAATCCTCCTGTATTGCAAGATTATGATTGGGAACAAATACTCGGACATGTTATCTAACTTAGAAGCAATCCAGAAATATGAATTCCTCACTGTTTAAAAATGTTTGTTCTCTATTTTACTTATTTCTAAAAAATAATAACGAAGCTTATGAGAACACCTTCATGTGTGTCTGTGCTCCCCCCTTACGCCTGAAAGTCACATCAACAAACCCAGAAGAGACGGTCTTTGCTTGGCAACAGCTCGGTAGTCCCGTTCCCGCGGTAACTAATACACATGCAGTGAAAGAAGAGTAGGTAATAACTACTCCCAAAACTTCTTACGTATGATTATTATGTTTTCCACTGTCCACTCCCTGAGATACACAACTTTCCGGGAGCTGGCTCTAGTCCCGTCTTCATGTTACTGAATCTCGTTTTGCAGACATTCTATCATTGTTAACTACGACGACCTGGATCGATTGCAGAATGTTTTCAATACCACGATGGTACGCTAACCACCAGATCTCCGACAGGACCCTGGAATTCAGTAGCTCTCAGTGACTGTGTAGTGTCTTGATACTATCTCTTCAGACTATTCGTCTCTCAAATGCTTATTGCTCTATGGAGGAATGGCCTTGAGCATAAAAGTATACAAAATTTGTCAGATTTGTAATGCATTCATTTCTTTTTAATCAGAAGCAGATAGCATAGCCTAAGTGTATAGATATGGCTTCTTTATTCGTAGGGTGAGGTATGGTGAGTCCACTTGGTGCATAGGCCAATAGTGTACCGATTCTAACAGTCCCAGATAATGATGGTAAATTAGCGTTGAGCACTTTGTGGAGCGAGTTTTCTCAGAGAAAAACCTGTCCTAGTGGAGCTTTGTTCACCACAAATCCCATATGACTTGATCTGGGATCAAACCTGGCGCTGCGCGGTAGGACTCCGGTTACGAACCACTTGAACTATGGCATGGTCACAAATATGACTTAAGTTGGCAGGATAAATGTCATTTTATATGCGTCTTCTCTCTGAGAGATCTAACAAAGAATATCATAAAATCTAGTCGTAGGTTTCCAATGTACGGAAAATTCTTTCGGTCTAGATTCAAGCAAATTAACATGTTTACCGATTATAACGACAAAAGGTGCATTCCGTTTGCTTCATAAAGTTAGTAAACGTCCTTTCCTTTCTTGTTCTGACAATAAAATGGGGTTTGGCAATATGGTGTACAGCGCAGGAAAGGATCATCTCGCTAAACACATGACCTAATAATGGTGCTGATATCTATCGGCAGTCTTCTAAACTATGGGACTGACAGTGACTTGATCACATTTCCTGCTCTGACTATATTAACCTCAAGAACCTTACGCCTGGCTGTAATGTGATTCTTGCTCATATAAGCTTTCAGGCAATGAATGCTGTGTTTGTTACAAATGCATTACTGAAATAATGCGTAGCCATTTCATGTCGTGCCTTTACGTTTTTCGAAATCCTTATGGACAGAACCTAAACCGGACTTCACGGTAGTAATACAAGCTAATGAATGAACTGCGTAAAACTAACGAGAGGTTTACAGAATACCGGGGAATTAATTTCATTAGGTTGGTTATTTAATGACACTGACGGTATCGAGGTTACGTAGGTAGATGAGAGGGTGCTAATGGATGTGAATAAGTTGGTGGAATAAACTTTGGCAGGGTTAAATAAGTACTAGAAGAAAATCTACTGAGGTGCCAGTTTCGACCCTCAAATCCAGCATGAAATGACCTGGGATCGAACCCTGGTCTCCCTAGTGTTAGCCAGCGACTAATCTATGCAAAGTACTCCACACATCTACTATTTGAAACATTCGGGGCAACTAAATCCAATGCAATTGTCGAGGGAAATCAGTCGTATTAATTGGAATGTATTATTAGAATTTCGGTTACTGTTTTTGCTTCCATCATCAGTCTCAGAAATGTTAAAAATCCCATATTCACACACATAAACACACAGCCCTACAAGTATTTTAGACGGTGTATATATTATTTTCTGATATATTCCACCTGCCATAGAAGCTAATGTACGTCATCGTCAATTTGTGACGTAGGCCGTTATGTCATCACTAGAAAGTTACTGGATTTAATATGCCGATGTGGAAATTGAGAAACATTTAAATAGACGTTTATTCCGTAAGGTTGCTTACGCACGGTATGATGTGCGTTGGTTCGCAGTGTCAATGACCAGGGAAACAAGAAATGCACAGAAGATAACATGATGAATATGACGCAGGATGAGGTATTCAAAGAGCTATGAGTATCCAGTATGGATGCTGATACGAAACAGACTTAATCAAATAACAGAGAAGTCTGGTAGGGAGATAACGGATTAAAATAAAGGAAACCGCGTTACTTTACTCAGAGGTAAAATATATTCTATGATTGTCTTTGGTAGAGTGTGGAGTGCCGAAAATGTAGGAGTGGAGAGTGTTTGCGGAGGCTCAGCTCCCAGGAGTGCAAACAGACGCACGTGAGAGAACATTGTGAACAGAGTGGGGAAGAGCTGCAACATTGCACAGCTTCTTTCTGCAGCATAATAAGATCCAGCAGCCATGGCACATATGCAAGGCAAATCCTTCCCTAGACTTCATGCTCCTTTCATCCCGTCACGTTTTCTATCCCTCGACCTGTATACATACGTCAACTGGTGCACAACACTGCCTAATCTATCTCTCCCGGGAATGCAGCTCTAAAGTGTGCGACTAATTTCACGAGAAGTTTTTATTGCAAAACAATGACGTTATTCTGAAGCGCAAAACTTTATGAAAAAAAAATATTTATTTTGAAGATTTATCAGCATTTTACATTTAAAAATAAGACGAAAGTTCTGAAAACAATAATTATAATGTTTGTGGAATTCCACTCGGATACATAGAACATGTTTACCAAATTTACTCTGAACTATATAAACAAACACGTGATTATATTATTAATTATTACTATAGTTTTAGCATTATGTTCTTTGTGTAGTTTCTATTCATCTTTGTTCACGGCTGTTCACATCTTCTGTGATAATGTATTTTTCTTCCTTCAATGCTTGCCTGTAATTAGCTTTCAGCCGTTATCAAGCAATTTATGAAAATAACTGGCGCGAATTACCATGTATAATAAATATTTATTAAAATTAATTTTTTGTATCAATCTGTAGAAGTCATCTTAGTTACCTGGCCGCAGTTTTTACAGGTACAACTTCCTACAGTTTATTTTCGACAACTACGTTGCCCTATTTCTTCTATTTTAACGAAATTTATTCGTACTTATGTTTCCGTTGATGTAGTTACAACCACAAAAATCTATCTGTAACAGGTCATGGAGGCCCATAGAGTCGTGAGACATCGAGGATCCCACATCATCTAGTTAATTGGCTCACAGATGGAGGTGATGTTGTCAGCCTTATGCGCCGGCCACCCTTTACCCCCAGGAACATTCCTGGTATTCATTTCTGTTAGTGGATAAGTCGACCCAAGGGCCATAATGCGGCTGTAAGGAATAGGCCAATTGAAATCCAATAACTTTTTTATTGCAAGTGGGGTGGGACTTGTATTTCGGACACTTCTGGCCTATTGTACCAGCCTCATATGATAGATGATGGTGATTGTGGAGCAATTGGTGGAATGAGGATTGGCAGGGTAAACCGCAGTACTCGGAGAAAACCTGCCCAGCGCCACTTTATCCACCATAAATCCCACTTGACTAGACCCGGGATCGATCGAGGGCCGCCGCGGTGGGAAGCTAGAGACTAACCGCTTGAGCTATGGCGCGGCCATTCAATAGCTTCATTGGGAATAGAACCAGTGACCTTCCGGCTAGCATAGTGCCTCAACCAACTATAGCCAACAAATTCTCCACTCGAAATTCAGTACCGCACGTGCAGATATACTCGTATTGCGCTGCTACAAAACAAATATCGTCGATTTCTGTCTTCCTTAAACCCGTTAATTACAATTCTTCACTTTTCGTCAAACAAGATCATTTCTATATTATTTTCAGCGACACACAGCAACATCATTCGCTTAAATTGTTTAACGGATTTATGGTTTCATCAGAACAGAATAACACGGGTTAGCGACAAACAAGACGGTAGTTACCCAGTAACGGCTCTACACGCTACAATATTTTAGCTGTGTCTGTAGTGAGACCTATCAGCTGTGCAACAAATTCGAGTGTCAGTTAAACTACAACCTAAATACTTTCAAATATTACACCATTTATCTCAAAGAATTTTATAATTTTAAGTACACACCAATATAAACATATAACTACATCAATGCACATATATGGAGAAGTAATTACTATATGGTTCACTCATTGTAAAATTATTCATACTCAATTTGCAGGCACCAATACGGATATCCTTGTGTGCTGTATTCATTTTCCTTCCCACGACGTCTTATGTTCGAGACACTAAATATGAACATACTTGAATGGAATGTATTAATTTGTGACACGATTTAAGTCGGATACACTCGTGGAATTTTGAGTTACGCATCAGTTAAACTTTTCGTTTTAAAAATGTTCAAATTTACTATGTTCTCCAACCATAACTAATTTCCATTTGTATTTATAACACATCAGTTGTTTTTTCCAAGTGTACTCTTCAATTCACTTAACAATTCCACCATTGTGCTATACAATACTGACAAATTTATTCATTAATTTCAACACGTGTCCATATAAGAGCTTATCGCAAAGTAAATATCCTTCCTGTA